TCTTTTGATAATTTTTATGTCTTAATTTGTTCTTTCAGATATTAGTTTCTTATAATGAATTTAGACTTTTCCTTTGAATATGATTTATTTCTTTTGAATATTGGCAGACTTTAAGACTTTGGCATGCTTTATTTTAGTAATATTTCTTAACCAAGCAATCATAAATTTGATTTTCACATGAAAGTTAAAAGACATATAAAGCAATATTTTGTTAAACCACATGATTCATCATAGAAGTTGTAATTGTATCATGTTTTCAAAGTGGCTTGGCTGAGTTCTGGCTTCTCTTTTGCTCATGATTATCTTAATTTCTAAATTTTGGGGTTTTCTGATTTATGCTTTTGGGTTTTAAAAAATTATCTAGTTGATGGACATCTTTGATTTTTTTTTTTAGTTTTTAGTTGTAGTTAATGTGTCTATAATGTGTGTCTATAATGTGTGTTTTAAGCACAGTAAATAGATAGCACATAATTTAGGCTATGATATGAATATCTATTAGAGAACTTTGGATTAAAAGGACAAAAATGTCTGAGTAACAGTGGCTGGACAATGCTAGAGCTCACTGTTAGTAAGAGCTCCAGAAAAAGACTGATCTGGAATTGTAATGATGTCCTGGTTCTAGGGCAACATTACTCAGGGCTGCAAGATTGTTTATGTATTCTTACATGGTAACCTCAATGGCTGAGAAGAGGGAGAGTAGAAGAAGGGCCTTCTCCCTAAGTCACCCTTCTCTTTTCCATAAAGAATGACTTTTCTAAGAACTACCAACAGAGGCCTTCTCAGTCCTGCTCACCGCTCAGAATTGGGGTAAGTGCTTATCCTGGATCCAGTCACTGACATAAAAAGGATTACAATGATTGGCTTAGCCCAATTATGATTCATCTCTGGGATGGTTATATTTTTAGTGCCCTTCAAAAATTGGTATTATGTTATTGAGGAAACGAGAATGGATATTAGGTAGGTAACTAATAGTATCTAAATATTATTATTAAACTCTTTTAGTATGATCAGATAATCATATGAACAAATATAGAATCACAAGGAAGGAGTGACTGGTGCTTTGAAAGAAGATATTTAACCTAGACTGGCCACTCTTTCAAAGATGATTAAGCTAATCTGTAGAAAAATTTTTCAGAAGTGAGGTTGCAAAGGGGTTAAGGTATGCTAGGCAGGGAGGATGGGAGCATTCCAGGCAGGGGAAGAGTATTGTGTTTATGTAACTTTAAAAAGGCACATAAATATTCACTGCTGTTATTACTAGTCTCTGGCCCTGTGAAGGTCTTTGAATTACTTCTAGGGGTAGGAAGAAATTCTTAGACTTACAAGTAGGATCCTGAAATATTGGAATTTTCAAAAAATTTCCATGTTTGAAGGGGACAATTGAATAGATTATTTGACTGGGATTGTCCTAGAAAAATTTGCCATTGAGTTGCTGTGTATAATGAATTTATAGGCAAAGTCAATCTGTCACTCCTGCTTCTTGTCTCTAATAATTTTCTGCAGCTAGAATTGTTAATTGAAATCAATTAAAAAAAGAACAGCAAATTCACTTTTTTACATGTTGTCTGAAACTTTTGAAACATTAATTCTATTAATCTATAGTTCATACTTATGCTATTCCCATTTTAAATTTTTTGAAACAATTGAACATTAAGCAAATAACAATGTTCTCTGAGACTTTGTTCCCTAAGAGTGACAATAAAATAAGTAAGTAAAAATAAACATTTTTACTTCAATACACATAGAACTTTCATAGATAATGGCAATACACATAGAACTTTCATAGATAATGGGCTGTTCTCTGAAGTAGAAAACAGTAGTTTTATAAATTTACCCAGGAATATACAACTCTAAAATGACTAAATGACTAAAACTTCCTTCTTTTGAGAATCTGTAACTATTATCAAATGAATATTTTATTAAATATTTTTATTATTTAAAAAGTATGATAAGAATGATACTTGAATTCTGGTTTAAAATTCATGAAACCTTCTTTTCTAAGTTTAAATATTTGGAAACTTCAGTTTAAGTCTTGCTATGGTTTGGGTATGGTTTGAGGGTATCCCCCAAAGGTTCATATGCCGGAACCTTGGTCTCTAGTGTGTCAGTGTTCATGTGCTGGAACCTTTAAGGTGGGTAGGCTGGTGCAATGTAATTAGGTCACATGGTCAAAACTAGCCACAAGAGAGGTGGGAAGTTGTGTGGAAAAACTCCTACCTAGGCAGCCATGTGACCATTTAAAACTCAGATATTCTATTTCTAAATTTAAAAAGGGGATAATGGATGATAGAAAGCAATAAGGGTCTGTCCTATTATCACCGTCTTTTGGTGATTATCAAAACCAAAACAATAAAACAGTTGTATAGTTTTAAGCTTAGATGTGAATATGTAGTCAAGGAGTAAAGTGGATGCCTTTTGGAGAGACAGCTATATTTATGCATCTTATTCAATATTTTTTGCCTTTTTTTATCTCTACCATCTAGCATAGTATGTCACTGAAAATAAGCACACAAGAAATGGATTTCAAATAAATGAATGAACATCTCTCTTTGCCTTTCTTGTACATTCCATGTGATTGTGTATTCTTTTTTGCCCTTGCTGTTTATTTATTCCTGTCTGTATTACTTGATCATATTGACTTCCTCATATTATGTTGACTACCAATTCCTGAAGAAGATAAGATGGCTTGAAAAATAAAAGTTTTCTGACATGAGTTTTCATATCTCAAAATAGCTATTTTGTCATTATATTTGCTTTTGGCTTTTTGTTAATGTATAGATTCATTTGTTCATGGATTAATTCTTACTACAAATTTTCATGAACTCTCGTGCTGTGCTAAGTGTTGGGAATATGAAAATACATGAGACCCATTCTGCACCTCACGGAATGCAGTGTCAGTGCCACACAGTCTGGGGAATGCCATGCCAAGCCCCATGCCATGGAATAAACCGAGGGAGGAGCACAGTGGTTGAGAGGTTCAGGGAGAAGGCAAGATGCTACCAAACGCACACTGGAAAGAAGTACCTGCATGTCCAAGGAGCGAGAGATTCCTAGAATAGGGACTATAAAAAGGCTTCTGCATTTTAAGTAAGGAAGCCATGGATAAGCCTTAGCAAGGGACAATTGTAGTTGCTGGAGGAGTGGCTATGTTGGGAAGTCAGAGAAGGAAGACAGATGACATAGGATATAGCTGTGAAGCTGGTAAACTTGGCTTTACAGTAAACTTGATTGTAAAGCCAGAGGACACGAGGGATAACAAAACAAAAAGATTTAAAGGAAGACTTTAAAAAAATATTCTGGAGTACTTATATGCTGAAGGAAAGAGGAAGCTGTAGAGGGCCAGATATTGGAGAATGACAGAGAGAAGGAATAATAATTCATACAGCTTGGCTTCAAGGCAGATAGAAGAGTGCATTTTAGCACATAGATGAAGAGAACCTCAGAAGAAAGGAATCCTCTGGTTTTATATAGGAAAGGAGGACAAGGGATGTATATTATACTTGCAAAAGTTTTCTTAACAGACATCTAAACACATGAATCAGGCACTGTTTAGGTGTCCTGCCTACAGAGGTTAATAAGGCAAGGTTGTAGTCTAGTGGGGGACCTAGATAAGGAAGCCAGCTAGATAATGTGTGGTAAGAGCATTTAGAGTTGCCATCAGCCTTAGTGAAATCATGGTGGTAGGCTTGAGGTAAAGCTTTCCAGAATCAGAGAGGACAAAATGGGGTTGCATCTGCAAAGAGAAAGGGACCTGGAAGAGAGAGGAACTGAGATGAGGATTGGGCTTAGAAGAAGTGGACCTGGATTACAGTGGTTGAAAACCATGGGTGCAGGTGTGTGTGTGTGTGCGCACTACGCACAGTCTGTCTATCTATCTATCATCTATTTATTTATATATACACATACTGAATATGTTTAAGCATCAGGTGAAACTATTTGGGAGTACTTGAGAAAATGAATTTTTATGATGAAAGAAGCCTCTTGCTTATCTTCCCTCCCCCTCTTTGATGACTTCTTGAAACTAATTTAGGTGAAGAAAGCCACTGCTTCCAAAAGTGCTTTGGTACTCTGGCATAATTTCAAAGAAATCTACTTTCCCAGTTAGTTAACTACATTTCCCTAGGAAAAAAAATCTTCTCTGTCAATGTAACATCCTTTAACAGGACTCCTGCTGCTTGCTTCTTGTATCTTGCTATGGCAGCTGTGAACATATATACTATTGATTGTTAATGTGTGATATAAATCCGACTGGAGCATGCCCACTAATTGGTTTGAGAGCTAGATATAGACAATGCTGTCTTATAGTAGCCTGTGTAGATAGGCCTAGTCATAGGGTTAATTCTGCTTGACAGCACATCAGCAGCATCTTGAGAGTAATTACCCAACAGAAGTTTTCCCACAGCCGATCTGAGAGCTTCAAAGGCTTCTGAATTTACAACCAGTATTAACCTATATCTGAAACATAATGTTCCCACAAGGGCTCAGTTTTTTTTCTCCTTATTAAATGTATGGGGTTACTAGGTTCATTTGCTATGTGCTAAGAACTGAGTGAAATTATTTGGTATTAATAGTTGGAAATCTTGAATAATGAAGTAAAAAGAATAATTATAAATCTGGGTTTTTATTACTTTATTATATTACTGAAGCAAGTTAATCTGAAAGGTTGGGTACTTTTTAAAAAACACAATTTATCCTGTTTCTTTAAAAAAAAAAACATTAAAATTTTGTTTTCATTTTCCATACTGTGCTATCTGTATTGATTTGTGCATTTTTAGGGGACCTAGGTTAATGCATGCACTGAAAATGGTTAAAATAAATATATGTTTACATTTTAGAAATGTAAATTGTGTATTTACATTTTAAAAATATAAATTTTATATTTACATTTTACTTCTTGGTCAACATACAGAAATCTATAACTATTACACCCCCCTCCCATGAAATAACTGTTGTTATTTTACAAACTATTTTTATATTCTAAACTGTTTTTCACTTTTCAGGTCAGAAACCAAATTTGACTCCGGTTCAGGTATGTTTACATTAATAACGTTATTCTGGCTATATTTTATTTACATTATTCTCTGAGGAGTAATTCATCAGATCAAGAACCATTTTGATTTTAAACAGACTGGGCAGTCTCTTTTCAAAACATGAGCCCCACCTCAAAGCAGAGCTATTGGCTGCTTCAAATCATAATTTGAGATGTTCACTTTGGGATTCTTCATAGTTCTGCAATAAGCATTAAGTATTCTATATCTGCAGAGTTTCAGTTTAAAAGCAGAGGAGGGGGGTCGTACATACTTTTTGCTCAAAATAGAATATTATTTTCTCCATGGAAAAAGCATCTTGAATAATTTGAAGATTCTCTAAAGTTATTTGTCAGCAAATGTGGGTGATAGATGCATTTAATCCAGCAAAGTATGACGAGTTTCAGCCAATATAAATGGAATTTGTCTATGAATTTGTTTTTAAAAAAATGTTTTATTGGGGGTTATGGAAAATGAAAATCACCTTAAACAGTTGTTTTATATCTATTAAGACAAAATTTATATTCTCACAAACTGGCATATCAGCTTCATTCTGTGGTTTCTTTTTGTAAAGCATGATGTAGCCATGTAATCCTCAGGTTTGACTATGTCCTTATTGTTGCTTCTGAGATTTATTGCTTCAGAGTTCTTGATGATATTTACTTTAATTATAAATAAAAAAAATTGTTTCATGTTCAGTTTTACAGGAATTAATGTCTTTTAATAAACTATTAATAGATAAACATTAGTTTTTGATTCCAGGAGAAAATAATTTGCAGAAAAATATATAGCGTGTTGAGTTTAAAAGTAACATTCTTACTCTGGTGTGAGTTCCACTATGTTTTAACTTAAAAATATTTTTGCCTATTAATATCACAAAGGAACCAAGTGCTACAAATACTTTTTGATAGTGGTATTAAGGAGCTAACATGCTTTTCTTCTTTATAAGCATCATCTTTTATTGTATTGCTTTATGACTTTCCTCAATTAGGTGAGACTCTTTTTTTTTTTATGAAGTTTATACATTAAAGTTAACAAATTCACCTAAGTTGAGAATCTTGATTCCAGGAATCCTCTTATTCTGTGTGTCCCAGGTCTTCTGAATTACAGATGACAGTGATAGTGTAACATGAACAGTTTTGGTAAACAGTATTAACTATCTGGAGACTAAAGATGTGGTGCCATTGTACCAGCTACTTGACTTTTATTGAACTGAAGGTGACTCAGAATATGGTGAAAAGTCTTTTTCATTTTGTTAATACTTACAATTTATAAATACAATTGAAAAGTAAGTAAAATGTTTTTACATAACAGTCAGTTACAAAATATTTAAGAACTTACTTTCTTATGATCTGATTTAATTTTCCTAAACAGCAAACCAGAAACTGGTTTTAAGGCACAGAATCTGGAATATAGCTTTTAAAAAGGAAAAAGTCCACAAGGTTCATTTCAAAGGTAAACCTGGAAATGGTGTACAAAACTGAAATATTAGGCAGCTATTGTCAAAATCAGATAATTTATGTTAAATTTTCAAATCCAAATTAAAGTGTGCTGCTAACTTCTTGTACTGAAGGTTAGTATTTATCATGGAAATAGTTATAACATCTGTACGTGCACATATCTTTCACTCACAGTAACCAAAGATTTTGTCCATGAATCTTGGTTTTTTTCAAGTCCTAATTTTTTTGTTTTACTGTCTACATGGACAACATCTGCATGTCTTTGAGAACTACAAAGTTCTGCACTCTTAAAGTCTTATGGGGAATACTGATTAAAAGTTTATTTATTCTTTTAATTTTGAGTTTAAATATAGAGGAAATTCAGATGGTTTCAAATTAAGAAATAGGTAATTATTTTTCTTAAAGCTCTTTTAGCTGGATATTGAATGAGAAATCATGACAAAGGAAGCGAGAAGTTTGTTCTTTGGCATTTTGTCTCATGCAAATTTTGGTTAGAAATAAGGTAGCATATTGGAACAATTAAATGTATGACTTTAATAGGTTCAGATTTTCTATTGTTCATTGAATACAGAAGAAAGTAAACTGGCTCTGTTTAATGTTGTATACAGCTGTGACAAAGCAAGATTTCTAAATGAAGAATGATGTCAATCTTACTAAGAAAAGAAACCTTAAAAAATAAATACTCTGGTCAGTGACTAGCCATAAAAGAAAGGATTTCAAAGTCAAATTTCATGTATTTATATATACACATATAAACTATGTGTATACATATATGTGTGCATACACACACACAGAAAAAAATATATTTTAAAGGAAAGTATCCAATTTATGCAGAGCCTACTGCACAACATTTGTAGTTTGTACAAAGGAGTTTCAGGGTATGGAAAGAGATTCAGGAGGAAAGAAAGTTTTCATTGCCTGCACAGGTAAAAACAATTTTTCAGTTTAATATGTATCAAATAATCAACATAGAAAATGATATAAAATTTCTATCCGAATTGTGACAATTTGTTTTATAAAAGCAAGTTCACAAACAACCTCCTGGTATTTTTTAAGTTAAAAATTTTTATAGTGAAAAATTTCAACCACATTTGAAAATAGAGGAATAACATTATGAGCATCCAAATAACCAGCATCTAAATTTTACTTATTAATAATTGATTACATTTGTTTCCCCTAGTTTTGTTCAGAATATTTTAAAGTAAAATACATATATTTCACATGATTTTTTAAAAAACTGAAAATTATAGATTGTCTTGACTTATTGAAAAGTGTCAATTAATTTCAGAGGTTATCATCTATCTTAGAAATATGGATCACATACAAATTATTATGAAAAGAATCATAGCATTTAGTTAAGGAAACTTTGGAAATTCTTTTTATGGGGCATTGTGTTAAGAAAACCTTTCACCACAAGGCAGAGGCACTGATTTAATTCTGATCTGAGAATCTCAGGAATGTTCTATCCTCACAATTAGTTTGGCTAAAACTTTAGTTGCTATATAGCTGTGATCTCTGTATATTGAGTTACGTGCTGATTAAAAACCTTTTCTGTTGATTTATAACTGGATCATCTAAGGTTTTGGCTTTGCCAGTTGAGAACAGCAAACCCACAATTTTTTTTTTTAAGGTTTCCATTTTAACACCAGTTCCTAGTTGATGTAATAATAACGTTGCTTGCCTAGATCATGTGGAACTGGTGATTTTACTAATAGAGTAAAACAGACTTCCTTTTATGTTCAAAAGTAGCAAGAAGCTGTGCTCTTCTCCCCACCTCCCAAGAAGGGAAGTTAGTTGATGCTGGAGGAAACAGAGCATTGAGTTTAATGTAGTGATTAAACATGAAAGCCATATATCAAATCTCAGGAGAAACATGCTTTTGAAAGAAGCAGAGAACTGTGGAGCATATTGCATGATAGGCTATATAAACAGAGCCCTGGAGGTCAGCGTGTGGATGCAAACCAATTAAATAAAGAACTTACTGGCTTTTGCTTTCTATCATCTGGATGGGGAGGATCACAAGTTAACATGCACAGGGTTGAAGTGTAAACTTTGCTGGAGTAAGCTAGGCACCTTTGGAAACTTCATTAACTCTTTCAGTCCACTACCAAGATTATTTTTTAAACCAAGGTTGCTAGGAAGTTAAAAATAAAAAGTGAAAATATGTGCTGTCTTGGCTCTTTTTAACATACCCTATTAACCAAGGTGTTAGTAAAGAGTAGAATGGAAGAGAAAACAGGATGAGCTGCTGAAAAAGACCAGAGTTAGCTAGCTCTATGGTCAAGAACATGCACACGTCTTTTGAAAACAACCCATTTGAGTGCTGGACATGGTGGCACACGCCTGTAATCCCAGCAATTTGGGAAGCCGAGGCAGGAAGATCCCAAGTTCAAAGCCACCTTCACAACTTAATGAGGCCCTAAACAACTTAGCAAGAACCTGTCTCAAAAATAAAAAATATAAAAAGGGCTGAGGATGTAGTTCAGTGGTTAAGCACCTCTGGGTTCAATCACTAGTAACTCCTCCCCCCAAAACAAACCGCCACCACTTGAAAAAACAGAACTTTGTAGAATAAGTGGAAAAATACTTTTTTCTCTTCTGAATTCTGAGAAGGCAAAGCTATAGCTAGAATTTACTGATCACTAATATAGCATTATGATATTGTTATTTCTGTTCTAAGAAGAACCTGATGCTCCTAAGTTAATAACAATGTTAAAGACTGTCTGTGGGCTAATTTTGTAGTCTTCACCATCTCAGGCAATGTTTGGGTGAGAAAATGAAATACCAAGTTAAATGGTATCGTTTCATGGTCCATAAACATCCAAAACAAAGATTTTTTTTTTTTTCCTTTCGAGTCATGTTGGCCGAGAAAGTGAATAAGCTTATGTTTAGTGCTTGTTGATTCTGGGCTTCTTGGAATAGCTGTACTAAGGAAATGGGCTCATAGAGCATAGCAACTCAAAGGTATAAGATTTCATGAAAGCAAATTATGGAGGATTAAGAAACCTAATGAGCATGGTTTAGTGTGGAGGGTTGAGGCGGGAGCTCACTATTAAATAAAGCCCGAGAGTGTAGAAGGTTAGGAGATCCTTAAAGACACGATAATAAAAGGCACAACAGAATATAATTATCCTGAAGAGAGGGGGGAAAGCTTCCAAAGAACAAAAAGCAGCTAGTGTCGCTTTTAGGATCTGTAGTTTAAAAGGAATCTACACACCAGAATAAGGAAATCAAAGAACACAATCAGTTAAAGCATAAGGGCAGTGAAGAATTGAGTGAGCTGTTATGGTAGCCACAAGCTGAAAGGAAATGAGGAATTTAAATGTTATGCAACTTGAATTTTCAAAGCTTATTAACAGATAAGACAATTTGTCTAACATGGTAAGCCTTCTTCAAGAAATATTAGTTAGAAAAAGATTTTCAGTTCTTGTGTGAGAATATGTTGACAATACTTTTTTTGTTGCACAGTTCAGTTTTGCCATTTTACATTTCTTTTATTTTCAAAGGTCTTGTAACAATGAAGAACAAGGAAAGCAAATATA